TTTCAGAGATTTCAAATCATTTTATATCATATTAGACAATGGAAGTCCGAACTGATGAAATTCACCACGAAATATTGTCAACCACCTTCAAACAAACGCTGATTCTTTTTCCATATAAAATATTCATTTTTGAGAGCTGTAACATTTTCTACAATGTGTCAGTACCCTATAAAATTTAGTAAAAAATACAAAGACAAAAAACTAAAAATTCAAGAGTTGGAGAAGAAAAATTCAATTTTATATCTTGCATTTAGTTTGCTACATGTATGTTCAAAATAATGATAGCCAATGGTTAATCTTTTAGGTAACTCTGTATCTGCTCAAAATTTTGAAATGGAGAAAGCAATGTTTTTTCTACACAGTACATATAAGTTATAAAAACTACTTCGAAATTAATAGTTCACAACTCTCTTATTAAGATCACTTTTATTTTAAATTCGGATAGAGAATATTGAAAATGGGTTAATACTTACTAAGGATTTTCTTGTTAGAGGTTGGTTATGAAATATTCCCAACTTCTGTGATATTACAGAGTTTAGAAAACAGGATCTAACACAAAGCCATGAACCCAGATTAGTACAATTAGCATTCAGCTTGTCGATATGATCCTTGGCCCAATTGTAAGCATACATGATGATCTAGGAAAAATTTTTTCAATTTTTTTCAGTATTATTTTTCATTTACTCACGCTGTCACTCTCTACGGAAACCCATAAAATTTTCTGCCTTGGAATGAAAGAAATGTTGTTGACTGCAGGAACAAATCTCTGAGAATGTTTCAAGGAATGGGGGCTCATAAAGTCAGGAACTTCACTAGCATTACTTATTGAAACCGTTGCAGCCCAATGTTCGAGGTTACGAGAAATAATAACATACTTGGATACAACATTAGAAGCAATGTAAGGTACATACACATCTTCACTCTCACTTTTGATGGGATTAGTGGGAATGCATCGAAAGGATCTGGGGGAATCCTGAAGTATATTCATCAGTTCTGCAATTATAATATGTGGTAAATGTCGATTATTGAGATTAATTTTAATTTTTTTAACAGATGGAGTGTTGAGGCTGTGTCCAAACGCCAACCAGTTTGGTAGATATTTGGAATATGCAACAGATAATATCCCTGATTCACCACATTCATATCTATCAGGTTTCAACAAGGGTATATGATTTTTTTCTTTACTAGGCTCCTTCTCCTTATCATCATCGTCAAAAGTTATTGATCTCTTTGTTTTGGGCGTTGGGGTTATTATTGTCCTAATTCTTTTTTTTCTTGCCCGAAAGATTTCAAGTTTAGGTTTTTCAAGGTTCAATATAGATTCTCGAATGTTTTTTTCACTGTTTGTATCCAGCATACAGTTAAATTCAATTTCATTATCAAAATTCATTTTTGAAGAATCGAGTCTAACAGGGCTCGCCTGTTCACTACACCTATTCACAGACAAATTTTGAATACACAATGACTTTTTCAATAGATAATATTCCATTACAATATCCCAAGTAGCTTGAGATACAGCTGCCTAAACATATTTAACAGAATGTGAAGAACTACAAAGTATTTTTGAATGCTCATGTCTAATGTCTACATTATTACAATTTACAATTTTACATAACATTCAGCTAAGTGTGAAATACAAAATATTAATGAATCCTTATGTCTAGTGACTGACTATACAAATCTGGTACTTACAAAGAAAATGGTGAGATAAAGATAAGCTTTGGAAACGCTATACCCTTTTCAATGGTTTTTAAAGGCCTGAAGTGAAACATTGAACAGATTTAAGTTATTATGATACTGATTTCCCAGCTTCAGAATACGACGAATTGGACTGTTCAAAGCATAACTGGTATGCTGATAATTGATCCAAATATTGTGAAATTCATTAAAGTACTGAAGTCTAGATGGACTGGGCACATTGCTACGATGTCAGATAATGAATACACAAAGAGATTGACATTTTCAAACCCATAGGGTAAAAGAAGTTAGATAACGACCACGTAGAAGATGGATTGATAATGTGCCGATTATGATGATGATTGACCTATTTCTCTCATATCAAGTCCGGCAAAAGTTTATGAGAAAATCTTGGAATATCATATTGAAAAATTGTTGGAACAATTTGGTTTTACGAGACAAAAATCCACAGAAGATGCTACACATCTTGAAAATTCTTTTTATCAATCTCTAGATAGTACTAAAACAACATAATGCATTTTTTGGACATATCTAAAGCATTTTTCAAGGTCAATCATCGATCAATTCCTTTTAAAAACCTGTATCAAATTGGATTGTAAGGAAAAATATATTATTCACTAAGAAATTATTGCAAAAATACTTTTCAAATCCATGAAACCCTCACTACTAAATAATGATTGACAGTGATTTGATTTGAAAAGACCACATTACCCAAATAATAAAAAAATAAGGGATTGTCACTGCATTCGAATTTTTTAATTTTTTAATTAATAAACAAAAAATCCTTTTCAGTACCCCATTAAAAATGTATTTAAAGAAATTGGAAAACTTACTATGATACAATTATTTGAATATTCAATTATTTAATTACATTAAAATTTCGTAACTTCTTGCATTTGTATTTGAATTAAACACTATTATTATTAGTATTAATGTGAAGTAATGCATATTTACCTTCAATAATCTCAGATGTAACAGAAGCTGCAAATTCTTCTGTTTCAAAAATATTGTCAAAAAGTGAATGCTCACTGGGAGAGGGACTATTCTTGTCAGAATTATTGATGAAAGCTACTGCTATACAAGCTATTCCACGATTTCCTGAAGCAGGATTCTGGCTCTGGTTGTATATGAAAATGTTTTCATCAAAAACAAATTGGTTCGCTTCTTCTTCAACATAATCTTTGAAGTGAAAGTGTGATCTTGAATCAGTGTACTTTGGTACATTCAAGAACTGTAATAGGTTCTGTTTCAAGTAGTGTATAAAGGATTCCAACCATCGGAGAGCAAATTTTTGAACTGTCAGCTGAAAAATTGAAAATACTTTAACTACTACATACATCTGGTGTTTCATTGTTTAATTTTTCGTTTTCACAATTATATTGAATTTCAGTTATAGTAATTTATTGTTAAACCGCAAAAATTATTTAAGCAAATCAGTGAAATATTTTTTAATATATGGTCTACTAAACCGAAACAGGTCTTGAAAATGAACTAATAAACCGAAACCGATCGTAACAAATAGTAAACTTAGTAGAAATTAGACAAATCATACCTAGAAGTAAGGTTATCTTAGTTATAAGGTTATAATGTTCTGTTGAAAGAATGTGATACTATGTTATCAATAATTCATAAAACTAGTATTATTACTATGCAACACTTAGGAATTCACTTTAAGCTGCATTCGAGTTGAAGGCCAGAAAGCTCGAAGCGTGCTGTTGCATGGCAGTAAAGGCCCGGAAAATGCACTGAATGCCTTGCCCCTCGATCGGGAGTCAAATCGAATGCACCTTTGACGAAAGTTGAGATGAACAAAGATCAAAATTCAGGGTAATCATTGATAAAGACTTTTGTGGAGATTTGTGTTCAAAGTCATCCTCACAGTTGAAATTATGAGTTCTTTCACAATCTAGGTCGCAAGTCAAGGCCGCGCAAAGACAACCACAAGGTCATGGGTCAAAACCGCTTGAGGAAAAATAACATATACAGAATCTGCAGTTGTGCGGTGGCATATCCAATTGAATCAACTGCAGGCAGAGTTTATGACTAGTTAGAAGGAATCTTGTTTGTTCGAGATATTCAGATGGTTCACCCTGTCTGAAATGACCCAGCCAGTACTAACGTGAAACTAGTACTGCAAAGCCGGTCTATCGGTGGTCATCCCAACGAAATGAATTTCAGCTTTTCACTAATAGGAAGTTATTTGTGAAACAAATTTCAAAAGGAAGACATTACACAGATGGTTTCACTTCACCTTTCTGCGTGGCTTTAACTGGGTTAGTTGTTTTTCCGTTGGGTATCTGCCACACGTACCTACAAAATCGTAGGTCTCACATGAGATGTAAGAGTTTGGTATTTTTAGCAGTACTTCGGCATATCGCATGCACCTCTCCAAAATTCTCCTATATTCTAAATAAAATATTATTTGTGATCCGGTTTTATGTTTACCTGTTAGGTAATTATTCACAGTAGTCACAGTAATTAGTCATAGATCTTAAAGCATAGCAGATTATCTTAGTTTATCACAGAGTGTTCCGATGAGGACACCAAAAAAGCCTATGATCTAAAGTAATACCAAGCATTATCATTACTGAAGTTGAAACTACCTACAACTAGTTATTTTCATCGATTTTGAATGTATCTGTAGGCATGAACAACTTAAAATTCATCAAAACTGTTTTACTGAGGTTCAGAATCAAGTGTCACATAATGTATGTTATCTCAACAAGTGTAACTTTACTTTGACTGGTGATGCCAATGTTTATATCATACAACATTCGACCAAACTATACTAGACTATGCAAGGGAAATGAAGTCGTGAAACTATCGAACATGAAATACAACGGGAAAAAGTTTTTTAGCTTTTACTTTTCCATCACTGAACAATAATTATGGGAAATTTCCAAAGACAGGGAAAAAGACTACAATCAAAACTCTATATGAAGATATGTAGTGCATACAGAAGAGTTTCCCACATTTTTGTATAAAGATGAGAAGTAGAAAGTCATCAAAAAAGTGATCTCTCCTGAAAATATTGATTTTCCAATTCAACTCTATATATCTTTGTAAATGTGCAGTGGAGCACAAAGTGGAAGTACTTTTCACAAGGCTGGACATTCGAAAGTTTACACCATTAGTTTCACCATGGAAAGTTATTTTTTCGGTGAAAGTTGTGAATTTTGTTAGAGAAAAAAATGAAAACAGTGTGGATGATACTCATAGCCTTGAGTTAATTTGATGATTACCCTTATAATGATTTCTGGTGGGCGGAAAGGCTTTTGAATGAAATGAACATCTTCAGGGGTCAAAGGACACATTGCATTTCTCGACAACATCACTGACAAGAATTCTAGGACTGCATCATCTAACCGATTCTGTAGTACTTGAACCAAATCGTTCTGCACATCAGATCCTGCTTCAGTTATTCCATGAACTTTCAAAATCAAAGTATCTTCATTTGGAAAATTATTACTCTCTCGTTCTCCAAACGATCTCACCCTTGGCCTGATGTCACCCTAAAAAAATCCCGAAAAATTATATAATTCAATATCCAACAAAATTTATTACCGAAGTTGCTGATATAATGCTCTGCTCTGATTGAGTCAGTGTTGATTTATTTTGATAAAATGGAAGCGAAGCTATAGATGGACTTCTGGACACACTGCCACTTTCAAAGTCACCAGTTCTTATTGAAGACTTATTGCCAGAATAATGTGTATTTTCATGAAGCCTGAAATATATGTACCTAAGAAAAGTTTTCAACTCGCTTGTAAATATTACCTGAGATAGAAGACATTATGTTGACAATTTCTATAAACAAACATATTATTTCTATTTGAGACTGAAAACTTATCCAAAATATTTTTCAATGCTAAAATTCCCCTGGATATGCCTGATTTTCCAGGACCTGTTTTCAATCGAGGATGTAACAAAAATGGAGTTTCCCATACCACCGGACAGGTGAATTCTCCCACTTTGAAATTTAAAGATGCCGTTGACAAAGATGGAGAACATACAAATAAATCGTTATCTTCGACATTATCATGATCTGAAAATGATTAAGAGATACTCCATGAGGTTTAATCAACTATTCTCAGAACATTTTGAAATAAATGAATCTTTTCTTACATTCAAAACTCTTCAGACGACTAAACGAAGGAATTCTAGATATCGGTGAATTACAAATATCATTGTTATCATCAGGTTCTAGTAGTGGATCACAGATTTTTGTCTCATAAAGAGTTTGTAGAAGAAGTAACTGATTGACCTTTTTACACAAATCCTTGACAGCCTGACGCATTGCACGCTGCACCTCCAAATAAACACGAACCTGGATAGTCGGCAGCTCCAGAAAACTATATAAAGAAAACAGAGAGATTCTTATCACTTCTTAACTAAACCAACCATTCAATACTCACCGACAATGGAAATATATTGTCACAATATCTTGGCTGACCTTCATTATCAGCCAGAAATTAGGTAAATGTGCTCTTTTATTATTTAGTGTGATCAGCCACTCATATTCATCATAATCTTCACTAACATCGTCGTCATAACCTAAAAATGTTTATGTTTATTTAATTTTCATTCATAAAATATATGATAAGAGTACAGAAGTATGAATACATTCATAGGGCAATCAATGTCAATAAAACAGGTATTGAAATTCCAATGTCTTCTAGTAAATGATGGTTAATATATTTCTACTTACCACCATCTGTACCTGGGCCACTCTCATTTATACTTGATATATCACTTTGCAGAGATCCCCGCTCCCGAAAACTAGGTTCACCGGTCACCATCTCTTCAGAAGAATTACACAGATCATTTACATTAGATCCTGCATAATTATGAAGCTCGTTTGATAAGTTAACCAACTGAGAACCATCGATGCTGTTTTCCACTGAGATAGTTTGTGAGAAAGAATTGATTTCTTTACGATCTAAAACTGTTTCTATACGATCCTTTGCTAGATAGTATATATCCTCTTTCTTACACAGCTTGTATCCACTGTAAGGAAGTTTGAGATTTGAAAATTCATCTACAAACTTCCCGTGGCTTTGCAATGGATAGACGAAATTCAGGTGTATAACATCTAAGACACATGATGTTCTGTCTGGGCTGCTAGTACTAACATGATCCATGACATAGTTTAGAGTCTTTGACGTAACAGGATCAACATCTAATAAGGCAGTACAAATTTCATCTTTCAAAAGCCATTTTATTTCGGAACTGATTGAAGAAATGGATTGCTTCTGAGATTCCGACAGATGTTTCAGAGGTTCAGAAACTCTGCAAATATAAGTGAGTTAGTTATTTCTGTTCAATTGTTGTTGATCAAAAAAATATACATACTGAGACATAAAACTGGCTTCAGAATATTCACTTGATATACTAGGTTGAAATCCATCAGAAGAAAATGATGTAGTTCTTAAACCTTGAGCTGAATAATCACTAATTATGTTCTGAACATCTGATGGTAAAGTGAGACAAAGCATATCAAGACTAACTTGTAAAGTTGATCTGTCAATATAATCAGTGGGATTTTCCAAGGACTGAATCAGCTCACCTGAAATGATATCCATTCATTTTCAGTTCAAGTTTATTGAATGCAATGTAACGTTCTGATCAGAGTTTGAAAACATTTTGTGTGGATAAAATACCCCTGTTAACAAATTATATATCGAGTCACGATTGAATCCATGCGCCTCTGCTGAAAGATGGTTTACAAATGTTGAATAGTTCTTCTTTTAAAAAACACTTCTATTCTTCTTTATTCTTTTGGAGAAAGTTCTCCCCATTTGACCAATGGACTCTAAATTGAATGTTTGTTCAGAGTCATTTTTAATAAATTTGCTGAAATTATTATAAGCTCTGGAACCTATGTTGTCACAATATTTTTTCGTTTGTTTATAGTTAACTAATCTTTTGAACAACCTGTATGTGTAATTTTGAAGAAAATCGCTCGTCTTGTACGTTTTATGTGTAGCCCAAAATGGTATGCTAGGAAGAGGGTCTGCAAGAAGTTCAATTGAGGATTTTTGAAAAATACGGCTTTAACGAAAGATTGACCATGTGAATGTAACAAATAGTATTTTGAATATTTACGTAGATTCACCGGGTGTTGAAAGTAGTTAGCAGAGTCACACACAAATGAGTACCTTGTGGAGGTTGTGTTCTACAAACTTTGTTAAGGAAGCATTGGTTATAAAGAATTTCAGTTGTCCCCAATGCTTCTTTATCTCTTGCAAAAGACAGAGTTGATTATATCTGTAGCTGATAGTACTGGTGTGAATCCACTTTTTTGTATATAATAGCTAGCAAACTTCATTCAATATCGTCCGCATTTCAAGATATTTTGTATTTTAGTTTCCATCAATGAATGTGAATAATATAAATTGAATAATAGTCTTAGTTACTTCCAGTTTTTCTCAACAGATGAACAAAAATTACTTTGCTACTATACTTTTTTTATTATAATGGCCCTTTGTAGTTTAACAGAGTTAGTTCTATGAGGCTTCTCATCATTACTTGGAGTTGGTAAAACTTAGTTCATGGCTTGTTTTGTAGTTTTTCAGTAAGAATGAAATCAATAATATCTACAGCGTAACCATTGTTGATAGAGATTTGTTTATTTTTTTTAATAATTCAAAGCTCAACTTGGGAAGTGAGAATTGTGACTATCCTACCCGCAGTAATGATATAATTTATCCAACACATAGGTTTGGCAAAAACATTGGTCTTATTTATTCAATAAATTACCAACCTAAATCTAATGCATAAACAAATTCATCAAATTGAAAAAACACGTAAAGAAATTTCTGATAAATAAGGAACCATATTTACTAGAGGAATATTTCAGCTAAGGGGCATATCTTCTTTGTGACACTATTCCACTATTATATGTCTTGTAACGTGTAAAGTATTTCTGTGAAATGAAGATTATTATTATCATTATTGAACTTCTTCGATTGACGACTTGTTTATTTTGTGGAAATTCATGTTCACTGAGGATACACTACAAAAACACACTTTTGTCTATTTTCCACTATATTTCTTTATTGTTGACCGGTTTCGGCTATTATACCATTTTCAAAACTAGTAGTTTTGAAAATGGTATGATAGCCGAAACCGGTCAACAATAAAGAAATATAGTGGAAAATAGACAAAAGTGTGTTTTTGTAGTGTATCCTCAGTGATCATTATTGAAACTAATAAAGACAAAACTCCATTGTAAGATAGATCAGAGTATATATGTACTTCATATTGCTCAAACGGGAAGAACTGTTCTAGAAGAATAAAAAAAACAAGTACTTTTTTGAATGAGAGGACCATATGTTTTAATTTTCTTACCATCATTTTATGGAAGGCCATGATTTCAATCACAGTTATGATGTAACACATTTGTAAAAGAATGGTGAAAAATTCAAAATTCTTGCTCAATGAACAGATAAAATTGTTTAAATCTCCTATGGTGATTTTTTTTCTAATGATAAAATTGGTAATGAGTGGGAAGATTTTGAACAAGGTTAGTAAGAAAAAATAAGCAGTATTAAAATGTTAAAAATCAAAATAAGTCTAACTGTGTTGAGAACAGTCGCATACATCCAAAAAAATAAATATTTCGAATTGGGATTAGAAACATTCACCTCTTGTAACATTCCCATAATGAGATCTGACAAGTATAATGTAGTGTCCGTTATTGTATTATCCAGGAAAGTAGTTGTTTTCTGGCAGTTATTTTCAAGATCCTACTGTGTAGGGACAATGGGAGAGGTAAATGTTTCGAATATAATTTCAAAATATTTATTTTATTAGTACATCTCCTGTTCATAAAAGTTTTATTCATTATTAGTCTGACTGAAAGTCATTTTAATCCATTGTATTGAAATATTTAAGTAGTACTTTATGTGGCTTCAGTTTAGTATTAGACATGCCTGAAAGACTTATTGTATAGTGAGACATGCTGGGACTCAGGAATGAGTCTTGTGAAAATCTCACAATACAGTTGTTAAATACGTTCCTCAAGAGGTTTCATCAAATATTGGCCATCGCTATCACGTGTGTACAAGTCTTATATTACAATATATCTAAAACATACCTAAACAAGTAGGTAGGACCCTTATGGAAGTGTTGGAACATTCCCCCGCATTGTATCTCACGGTACAAATGAGATGTAAGAATAACGGACTAATTTGATTGTTATTCATATTAGTTATTCCGCTAAAGCCTGTCATGTAACTCATATTACTAACACCACTCTCCATCCTGTGTAGGACATGTGCCTGATCGGAAAAACTGCTTGTTTCCTCAGATCTGAACTCAACAACTTCAGAATGATTATCCGAATTTTCATCATCACTATCAGGTACCAAATCATCAACATCTAGATTTGTTAAATTTTTGTAAAAATAAAATTCATCATGAGTGGGTATTGGATTGAAAATAGTGCCAATTAATTTCGAAAAATTTTCTTTGATTAGCATGTGGAGGGACTTTACATCATAACAGGGAGAGGCTTGGTTAAGTTCCTTTATAGGTAATTTATCAGAAACGGACTGTTTGATATGACCACAAATAGTTGTAATGTACTCCGTGATATCCACTTCTGTGATTGTTTCTTCACACTGATCCATGACTGACTGAACATCACAGCTGTTAATGTATCCCCCCAAATGTAACGCTACGAATAACGAGACAGTAAAACATTTGGAATGGCTAACTGCCACAGTTCTACAATGATGTTTAACACTATTTTGTTCAGGTTCAGATTGTTGATTTGATTTTTCTGATTCATCGAAATTCGCTTCTCCTCTTATCCTAAAATAATAAATAATTCATGATGATATTCACAAGAAGGGTTAACTATACTAACTTAACACATTCCTCCTGCAATAAAAGGTTGCTTTTGAAGCGGTGATCTTCATAAATATCTTCATTAGAGGAAGGGAGTTCTTCATATTTATTAACATAGGCATTAACTATTCTACCTAATGGGCAATCGAACACATATATTGGCAAACAAAGAGAATTTGTTGTATTTATAGGAACATCGCTAAAGTTGCTTCCCCTTGAGGAAACACGTTCCATACTCTCTTCACTTTCATTGCGGTTTGGAATGTTTGTACAATTTGAAGTCATGAGTGCCTTAAGATCGTCCAGTGTTGAAACAATGAAAGTTAATATTACATGAGTAACAGAAACTCCCTTGATAAAACATCGCCACTGGGATTCAGTCTTTTCATCACTCTCCTTTGAAATACCTATAACAGATGAATTTCAAAGACAATAATTTTTGAATTGTTAAAATGAATATTTTGAAAAATGTTAATAAATAGTACACACCTCTACTTAAAGCATTTTCTGATATTGGACAAACATGAGGATGTTTATTCTTATGTCTCTTTAAAATTTCTTGTGTAAACCTATCAGATTCTTCTTTGGTCAGTGGTAATTCTTGATCATGCAGGAGTCCTAAATGTTCCAAGATATTATCCAACAGTAGTCTATTAGGTTTATCACTTTGATTATTGTTTGAGTAACTTTTACCTCTACCTTCGATGAACATTGAAAATAATAGTTCGGTTTGTTGACATAACGGAAGAATATTTATTGGGTCAAAGTTAAATGGAATGTGTTCAATTCTTGGAGAAACTATAGGATACCACTGGCACCTACAACAAGATTATGTATCAATTGAAGAAACTGTTTTGTTGTAAACTGAAGTCTTAAATAATGTTCAGGCTCACCCTTTTTCAGCTACAGAAGGAGAATCCAAATGACTATTTCTGCTATCTCTACGTGAACAGTTTTTTCGACAAGTAGTCAAAGTGGTCTGACTAACTTGATTGAGGGAGAGATTGTCGTCTTCTCTTTCTTGGCACATCAAGCTCAAATGTTCCATTGTCAATAATGCATTAATACACTGGAGATCTACGGTATATATCTGTGAACAATGATCAATAAAATAACTTCTGACAATTTGTGTGTCAACAACAATGAGAAAACCTTATCGAAGATAAATGGAACATAACTCACCACATCAGCTATTTCATAATAATGTTTATCATCAGTATATGAAATTCGAGGACTGCTTGGTACAACTTTGCCATATTGCGGTTCAATCCATACCTCGGTGATCATCTGTAACTCTGCTTCATTTTCTGAAGATTGTTCGTTATCATCATCAGATCCACTATATGCCTCATCATCATTACATGAGTAGGCCCAGTGAGGAGGAAAGAGAACGTATTGTACTACGCATGTTGCGCTGGGTTCCATTTCGAGTTCCAACACCATTGTTACGATGCCGGAGGCTGAATGAGCAAAACTGAAGCCTTCCTTTATTCTCATCCTTGAATGAAAAGGTCATTGAACTTTATGTTGAATAAATTAATCATAATTTGTGAAGGTATAATTTGAAAGGGGTATATATTTTTAGGAGAATTTCTTTTTGGAAACATGTTTGTAGCCACACGCAAGAAATATGCTTGCCGAACCTCCACATTTAATTTGAATATATGTTGTAATGTACCTTGTAAACTTGTTACAAATTTTACTGTTTTTTTTAATTTATACTAAACTTTGTACCTTATACCCATCTGTTTCTCTGACTTGTCATAGATGTAATTTACACATAACATGATCAAATAAATCTATCTTCTTCTTGGCTTACTACTTCTCCATCTTTATCATTACATAGTATAAAATGGAGTCGCTTTCCGCTCTGTCCCTATGTATGCTTAGAACTTTAAAACTATGCAATGGATTTTGATGGGGGTTTTTCAATAGATAGAGTAATTCAAGACGAAGGTTTATATGTATATAACATGCATAATATAGTAGAGAATCACTGTTAATTTTAAAGGTTTCTAATGTGATGTCGTTAATAAACACATTCTACACCTTAAAAATGTCTACAAAAAAGTCTGCAATGGTATACGTCTATCTCTTAGAGATAACCCAGAATAACTTTTTTATATCCTTGATTCTTTTATGAACCGATTTTGAGTAATACATCATTGACATATTCAAAAAACACTTCATTGTGAGATTCTCAGTGAGATTTAGTGAAAAATCTCACAATATAGGGTTTTTTTAATACGTTAGTTATGGAGTTTCATCAAGTATAGGCCAATTCTATCATATAATACAGCAGTGACCCTTATCCAGTCAATTACCTCAAACAGATTGTGCATTTAATATAGATCAATATGGCTCTTCACAGAATATAATTTGAATGAATATTTTTGAAAATATTACAGCTTTTAAATGCAGGGACATAGCGGTTGCGGCGGAACCGGCCGGTACCCGTGCGGAGCCGGGGCGAGTCGCTAGTATCTTTATATTTTTCAATAAATCTTGGTATAACATATAAAGCCAGAAAAATTATTCTCAAGACATCTAGAAAAGGTAATTCGATTCAGTACATGAATTAACAAAAAAAAACTGATTCCTAATGATTCCAATAATAATTCTTGCTCTGTAAATTTCAAGTATTTGCATCTATTAGGTTGTTTCAGAAGTTTTGTCCGTTTTAATGTCATGTGTTTTTGTAGATCCATATCTCAATAAATATGTATTTATTTAATAGTGTCGTGGTATACACTGAGCGATAAAAAAATGTTGTACACTATACATTGATGCTGTTTATTTTTTCCAAATTTTATTTTTTGCCCCTTTTCAGTTTATTACTACTCGTAAATATTGTGGTTAAGGGGTATTCATCCAATTTTTCTCTATAAATTCAAATTGAACCAAAGAGCTAATGAAACAGGCCAAACAATTAACCAGGCATTTGGCAATGACAGTGTTAATGAACATACTGTTCGACGTTGGTTTGTGAAATTTAGTTCCGGAGATGTTAGCCTTGAAGATGAGCCCCAAAGTGATCGATTCAAAGTAATCCAGGACGAGGATTTCAGGACCCTGGTGGAGACTGACTCATCACAAACAGTGCGTGGGATGTCGAAAGAACTGTATGTCAGGTGCCATGCGGTTTTAGATGGTTTAAAACGTATTGGAAAGGTCAAAAAGCTCCAAAAGTGGGTGCCCCACGATTTGAATGATCGACAGAAATTGTCACGTTTCGAGGTCTGTTCTTCTTTGGATCGGATAGTCACGTGTGATGAAAAGTGGATCCTCTACATCAGGAGATGTTCATAACAGTGGTTGGACACCGAATGAGCCACCCAGGCACTTCCCACAAAAAAATACCATGGTTACTGTATGGTGTTCAGCGGCTGGTGTGATTCACTGCAACTTTCTGAAACCGGGCCAAACCCTCACAGCGGAGTCCTACTATGGGGAAATCGATGAAATGTACCGAAAATTGCGGCACGGGTCAACAGAAGGGTCTGATCCTGCTCCACGACAACGCCCTTCCGCACGTTTCATAAATCCCAGTCCGAAAATTGTACCAATTGAGCCTCGAAGTTCTGCCTCACCCAACATACTCCCCAGACCTATCGCCAACCGACTACCGCCTTTTCAAGCACTTCGATAACTTTCTCACTGGTAGAACTTTCACCAATCAGGACCAGGCAACAGCACTTATCGTTATATACTTTTATAAACATGATTGTAGTAGTAGTAGTAGTAGTAGTAGTAGTAATAGTAGTAGTAGTAGTAGTAAAAATGAAAATGAAACTGGCGGCCGAAATATTTTGTGAATGGCAAAGGCAAAATGAAATATTATCACAGCCATACACAATGAGGAATTTGCTTTAAATTCACTGAGAATTTTGTACTATTACTATCTGTCCCAACGAATTTTATAATATCCTTCGCCATTCACAAAGTATTTTTGGCAGCTAGCGCAGGCTGGCAGCTTCTGGTTCATATTCGATAAGCAGTTGTTTCTTCACTCAACCTTAAAAGCATGTGCTCTAGTACGTCAGTCAGCAGAAAATTACAGTGGGTTGACACTGTCAAAATAATAAAAACAAACAAATCATGAAAAATAAACAAATTAAAAGTGAAGGTGAAAGTGGGGGGCATTAGCTGATTTTTTTTTATTTGTAATATAATGACATGTATGCAGGAAAATACTAATCGTCCAGCAAAATATGTTTATATTCAACTCCGAAATTGTTGAAGCTCAAATTTTAATAATTGAGGTTGTGAACATTTTTCAAAAAGTTATAGAAACTTCAGTTAAAATAATTGTGTTATAATTGTAAAAAGTATAGGGATTTGATGAGGTATTCCAAGGTCCATTGTCAACCAGCTAACTTTACGAAGGTTATCAGATATTCTCTGCCATTTAACACTATTTATCATTTGGAAACGTTTCACAAGGTTTGAAGAATGAATAGAAAATAGAAGTAGACCCAAAATTGAAACTTTAGGGACCTCAGACAAGAGTGTTGACAGTCAATGCATTTCATCCATGTGTTGTTACAAAAATCATACAGTTGATTGAATGGAACCATATTCTGTGGCATGTCATTTTTATTATTTGTTATTTATGCAGTGAATCAGTTGAAGATGTATCTGCGCAAATATTTTTATCAGGTCACCGAACAGAATTTTTCTAAATTAATGTATTACAAATAAAAAAAAATTAGGGTTTTTCTGAACAGCATGATACCATTCTTGTACACTTTTCAAGCTTCTGACATTATAAAAACTGATTTGTTTGATAACACATTTGTTCAAAAACATTTTTGACTACCTACCTACACTCCTACACCTACCTACACTCTGCAGTATATAATAATACAGTTTTACACGATATATAGATATGGATACTCAAGTTGAAATATCTTCTTACTTTGTTAAAATATTCAGAATTCTGGATATCGATTGATCAGGCAGTTTAGAGTATCCTGGAAGACTAGCACTCCAAATCCATCTCTTATGAAAGAGATATCGTGATAGTGTTGTGAATAAAGTGCCTATTACAGGAGGGGGTACATTCACAGATGAATGCGGGGGTTGGGTTCCATCAGGAAATATCACAGTCGTGTAGTTATTTGGAATACGTTCGTATCTACAAAAAAAAAATTATGAGTTGAGAGATAATTTTCTTCAAAATATATCCACCTGATGAGAATTTTTTCAAGAGGTTTTTGTAGTAACATACAGCAAGCATTTTCTTTAGCTTTCACGTTACTCTGATGGTAAGACAAAGCTGCTATTCCACTTTTCAAATCATTACAAACCTGAAACAGTAGAAATATTATGCATTCACTACAAATGCAAACGATACAATTTGAAACCCTAAAACGCCATATAATATTAAAAAAAAAATCATTACTCACTTGAAACAGTCAACGTTTCTACTGATAATAATGACTTATGTAAAAAACCAAACTCAAAAAATAATAATTTTGGAAATATTCAATCGTTTATCCCTTCTGAAAGTACCCTCAACCCTCTAACGATAAATACTTATGTTGTACTTAAAAATTCATACAACATATCTTACTTTATGCCGTATGATTCCAGGAGTTCCAGTAAAAAATCCAATATTCAGCACAATACAAGGAAGTTTTGAGGAAATTCGAATTATGCAGAACCAGGTAGGTGGTTTGTCACTTTCTTTATACAAAAATTTCAAGTAAGTGTGATTCTCTATCAAAATGAAAGATGCCCAATCAGCTAGTAGTCCGTATAAGGCAGTAGATGAGTGTCTGCATTGAACAACCTGAAAATATAGAAATACGAATATATATGCCTAGATAACTTCGAAAATCTCCTACCACGTAGTATCGGCTACATCCATCAATTTAATTTCAGAAATATTTCAGAAGTACATTTCAAAGTATTGTAGCAGAAAATAATACAGACGGTGTAAAAAATAAAATATATAATGAATTATCCATCAAGAAATTAATTAGACTACTTCAATATTAATTTAAGAAAGAATCTTTGAAAGTTCAACTACTATAGTTTAATTACCTGAAATCTTTGTGAAGAATTCGCTAGATGTAAGTACTTTGGTAGATTGTCATGTTGCAATATGAGAGATACTTTTTGTGTATGAAACCATTTTCTCCAATTATTACTCTCCATTTGACAGATAGGTTGCCATGTATTCACAAATTTTAAGCAGGAGTGATTGCTGAAAAAAAGTATTAGTTAGTATGTGCTGATGAGCCTCAAAATATTGAGCAACACTGAGTAGTAGACTGTACCAAGCCACAATATAGGAGCCCCAGTACATGGAGTGATAGTGTGTCTCTTATATTCTGGATTACATAACAAAGAGAACTTAATTTTATTGTTAGTTTGTACAGGTGCTATTCCCAAGTCAGCCATGGATCTAGCATTGACTCCAGAGTACTTACTAAATTCAATAGATGCTTTATTACACTTCTTGATAAGTTGTTCGGATTGATAATGTGTTAGTATAAAATTTGTATCATCTGCATATTTTATGATGCGATCGGGAGTACCACAAGTTCTGTTAATATCACTGATAGATTCTGAGATTCCG